CTTACACTGCTAAATTAGGGACGGCTAGTGCAGATATCCCTCGTGTAGCTTTGCGCGAAATTCCAAAAACAGAACAAACAAAGAAAGCAATATGTTAAACACACTATGAAGTATGTTTTACACGGCTACTCCCACTTTAAAAAGCAATTTAATTCACAACGACTCTTATGGACGTTACTGACAATGTTACTGAATTCAGGAAGATTTTATACATTTTGTAGTTATTTTTCTTAGCGTTGTACATTTCTGAAATACTTCCATATTTGATAATGTTAGGACTACTGATCTCATACTTTTTTATTACGCTATATTTAATATTCTAATAACATATTTTATACACTACTTCTCAATTTAAAACTTACTCACATATATTGATCTGTGAAATGTGTCTGGACATGTAGTCGTACTGGGGGGAAGTGACCTTACTACGGTTTACCATTGCTCTTAGCTTGAATAACGGATGCTAACCTTCCAGGCATGCTCTCAACTAGTTCCGGCAGGTGCCTGATGCCATGTGTGCCTATGTCGCCCAGAACACTCTCCGACTAGTCGTTCAGATTCCAGTGTTAGCAAGCGAGGACCCGTACTCAACCATCATGCCGTCCTGAACACTTTCAGACTAGTCGTTAAGATTCCAGTGTTAGCAAGCGAGGACCCGTACTCAACCATCATGCCGTCCTGAACACTTTCAGACTAGTCGTTCAGATTCCAGTGTTAGCAAGCGAGGACCCGTACTCAACCATCATGCCGTCCTGAACACTTTCAGACTAGTCGTTAAGATTCCAATGTTAGCAAGCTCTATTCCAAGCAAATGGCGCTGGGTACTCTTTGGCTGATGCACAATTTGTGTATCTCAGCTCAACCAACTTACCCAAATTCAAGAAGAATACGATGCATAGATTACGATACTGAATTCAACACTGACACTATCAGTTTCTTGTACGGATAAACCTCAACACTTTTTTATAGTCCTAACAAACAAACAAACATAAAGTTCGTTAAGCTCTGACAAACTGTTTGGCAGAAGAACGTTTCTTTTAATGTTCTACTATCAAGTTGACCTATTTCACGTACCGATTTTCTACATTCAAAAGCAATCTATAAAGTAAATATCAAACGTATATCATTCGGTTTACCATTTGTCACTAAATTACACCGGTTTCACGGGATTCTAACCCTCATCAGCAACCCTAATTAAGGTCAAATCGAAGGAATAAGAATAGGTTTCATACAGCGGTGCCGTGTATACTATATAATTTATAACCTGTGAAATTAATTTATTTCATGACGTGTTTGCATCTTTCACACATTTCAACACTACTTATCTACCTCACTAGTTTGTGTATCTGTATTTATATTCACTGAGTTCCTAGCAGAGCATGTTCATTAAGCGAGCCGCATCTTCAAAGATTATCCTAATGCTTCTAGCAGGGTAATGTATTTTTTTTAATCTGCTACTTTTTATCAATTGCTTCAGATTCTGTAGTGTTACTTTTTTTCTCTACCTTCCGTATTGATTTTGTTACTTTCTTGCACAAGTTCCACATAGTCTACGTTTCGCAATGTCACTTCTCCCTCGAGCTGATACGTTCCGTACTAGTGTTTTTATTCTTTTACATTTGTTCCGTATATCCTTTTTCCCCGTTGTATAGCACATTTCATACTAATGGTATCTCCCTCGCGTATAAAGGAGTTTAAGTCTGAGGAGCACTGCACATTTTGAGGATAAAATATTTTCAGTTCTAGTACACGTTTCGTACTATCGATTAAACTCAGTAGAATCTGACGCTGTCACGTGACATCCCACTTAATGATCGATTCACAAGTAAATACGCTTTACAAATGCTCCAGATAAAAGAAGACAAGCCAAGTAAAACAAACAAAGCCAGTCGCTTTTCCTTTTATCCAAACTTCATTAAGAAAGTACCTGTTTCATGGAAAGGAGACTAGAAACGATAAGGCATAATTCTCGGAACATTTCCACTGACTAACAGTATATACGTAAGACATATAATTTAACAAACACCATAGTGGTGGGCTTACATCTTTTTATGCAGAGTTCAGACTACGATATTATCAGTATCGAGAAAACGTATTCTACCGTATTTATATATATATTGCATTGCAAACATCGTTGTAGTATTTTTTTTACAGCTGTTTACTTATCAACGCGCAATCTCCTGAAAAATACTAAGCCCTGTAAAACACATCAATACTGTAATTACTTGCACAGTTCCTTACTACCAAAATATTTCTGAATTTATAATCTATTTTATATCTAGTTTAAAAAATGAAGGTTCAAGCTGTAAAAAAACACACGAATGTACTAAGATCACACACAAAAAACAAGAAAGTACTAAACCAAAATTTTTGTTGAACAATTTCATTTTATCCTTAATATTTAGCTGAAAATATTATTTTAAAGTACATTTCTTTTAAACATGTTAACGACTTTTTTTTTATGTCTGCAGGTTTTTACAACCGTTTATTCAGTGACAGTGCTTGTGACCCGAAAAATGGAGCACGCGGTTTTTACACTGCCCTATATTGTGGTTTGCAGCGTCTGCTATGCATATCCACATCTGTTTGAAACTGTAAAAACACTGTGTGTTTAGAACGAAAGTTATGTCCAACTATTAATGACTACCGACAAGTTTTGGGGATATCTAGAAGTATCAG